CAGAGGAAAGCAAGGAAATCCCCTCTGAACAATATTGACAATAAAACTTCCTTAGAGACTCACCTTATGGTTGCCATAAGTGAGAAACAGATGGAAGACAGACAACAGGCCTTACTTCTGTTCAAGTCAGAAATTATTGGTCCCTAAATAATTGGTTGGAACACTGATTCAAGCTTAGATACATCTGTATGTGTCTTACAACACTTAAAGAAAGCTTTGCTAATTGTCAGTGTTGGAATTTTCTCTCACTTTTTTTAAGTTGTGCTATTTGAGAACAACTGTGAACTGTGTTGAACATCTCTTAATTTGGGTTTCTTATGTACACACAAATATCTGGGGAATTGGAAATATCAAAGAGCTTTGTAGTGTCTTTCATCTCAACCTTTTATCATCTAAAAACATGTCACAGGAAATTGCCACGGCTTTTTAAAAGCAACATGACTTTGAAATAGTTGTATTCCTTCGTGTTTTCCACTTACTGGCAGCTAGTTCCTACTAACATAAACATGATTAAGAAGAGGGGCAAAGCCAAGAGAATCTTAACCTCAAAGTGCAAAGCTCTCTCCAAAAAATATCAGATATTTTGATATGCAAACTCACTGTAGAATACTGTATAGTGTATCAAAATGTTGCAGGATAGCAAGAGCTCCTTGTGTGTTGAATGCTTTCCGAAATTCTGCAAAAGGAGAGAAAGTCAAACTTTTATACAACTGATGAGGCCTGTCTCTAAATTTATTTATTTATTATATTTATATAACACTTTTCTCAACCCACAGGCGACTCAAAGCGGGTTACAGTAGCAAAATTCAATGCTCAAAAACATCATAAAACATTTAAAAACAATGGCATAAATATACAACCATTACAAAGTCATTAAAACATAACTCATCAGCGTCTCTTAGTTAGAAATCAAGATCAAATCTCATCACCCAATCGTTCCATATCCCTATGTTTGTTACACTGCCTTTCAAATGCCTGCTCAAACAACCAGGTCTTAACTTTCCTCCGGAATGCTATCAAGGAAGGGGCCGATCTAATGTCTTTAGGAAGGGTGTTCCATAGCCGAGGGGGGACCACTGAGAAGGCCCTGTGTCTCTTCCATGACTAGAAGCAGAGTTCTGCTTACCTGCTAGTGATCTGATTGATGTTAATGCTGAGAGAACAAGGGTCAGCTTTGGTTCAGGATCTCTAGCCTTGGCAGTTTTAAACAGATCATACTTTACTTTAAAGTACTGCTATTTCATTTTAAAACCTATAGCTACCTCCTGTGAAATTCGGGGGCTTATAACCTCTGTGACTGAGAATTTTAAAGGCCCCTCCCTAAACTGTTAATCTCAGGATTCAATAGGAGGCAGCCATACATTTTAAAGTGGGACAAAAACCCCTTAACAGTATAGACCAGTGGTTCTCAACCTGGGGTCCCCAGATGTTTTTGGCCTACAACTCCCAGAAATTCCAGCCAGTTTACTCCCCCACAAATATACCTTTTTTCGTTGCTATCTCATCCAGAGTTTTATCATTTTATGTTGTCCATTTGGCTCGCCCACTGTGTTTGATTTTCCATTCTTCTATTTTGTGCTGTTTATTTTACCTGATTGGTTTATTTATTTTATTGTGATGTTATTTTGTTGCTTATATTTTATTTTGGTGTAATATATCGCTGGGCTTGGCCTCATGTAAGCTGCTCCAAGTTCCCTTTGGTGGTGGGGTATAAATAAATCTTATTATTATTAGCATAGCACAATATTAGTATTATTATTAAGTTCTATTGGCTTTACAAAAGATCTGCTTGATGCAGAGATGAAAACTGCTAGATATGGACATACAAGTCTACCTACTACCAGCCATCTAGACATCTGTGTTAACCTATCTGCATTTTTAGGAGTCTTTCTGGAGTAGCGCAGCAACTCCTTCTGCTACCTAAATGTCTACTGCAGATTACGAAAGATCTCGCGATCGGTGGTCTTTGAGGGAATAACAGCACACCAGTCTTCTACTCGAGGCTTCTGTCGGAACAGGGCCTACCGCCCTCTTGCCCGCCTTTCCCCACCAACCTGAAAGCCGGCCCGGGAGCTGCTTGACGGGCAGGACCTCCTGCACCGCGTACTGTGAAGGCGCGGCGCTACGAAGCAAGTCGTCTGGAGACAAAGGCAAGTGGAACTCCCAAGCAGGCGGCGAAAGAGGGGCAGCCATGATTCCTCCACTCCGCGCCTTGACCGGAAACTCAACTGAAGCTTCAACGCTTCGCGCCCCAGAGGAAAAAGTCCGCCCACGAAGGAACAGCCTATCACAGACGTCGGAACGCGGAGCCGACCAATTGGAACGGGGGATTTTCCTGTATGGTAATGAGGAGGAAACGATTGGAAATGTCGAGCCGGACTCGACCATTCTCGCGCGGACCCGCAGGCCAATAGCAGAAGGGGAGGAAAAGCGCGCCAGCATTTCAAATGGCGATGGTTCGGCCAATCAGGTTCTTAGTTTAGAGTTGAACCAATCGATGTTCTCTAACTGCACTCATTCGAATTTTTCTCCAGCTTCCGGGTTGTCGAATTCGAAAGAGAATTTGGAGATGCATGTTTTCTTGTTTTTTTTTTCTCGGCGCACTTTTTGTGAGAGTAGTTAATTAAGGTACCAATTAAAACTCAGGATGTTTGAACAAACGTAATGCTTTATTTACAGCAGTGGTTCTCAACCTGTGGGTCCCCAGGTGTTTTGGCCTTCAACTCCCAGAAATCCTAACAGCTGCTAAACTGGCTGGGATTTCTGGGAGTTGTAGGCCAAAAACATCTGGGGACCCCAGGTTGAGAACCACTGATTTACAGCAATGGTTCTCAACCTGTGGGTCTCCAGGTGCTTTGACCTACAACTCCCAGAAATCCCAGCCAGTTTAGCAGATCTTAGGATTTCTGGGAGTTGAAGACCAAAACATCTGGGGACCCACAGGTTGAGAACCACTGGTTTACAGGGAAATAGTGGATGGATCTAAACTGCCACATAATCCCGTTTCCGAATCCAGTTTATCTACTCTGAACTGGATTATATGAACCCATAGTGCCAGTTCAAATATCTGGATTCAGAAATTGGATTATATGGCAGTGTAGATGGGCCATTGACCAATGTGTTGCTTCTTTGTAAACATTTAAGATTCACTCACCAATTGAAACAATTACCCCTTTATTCCGGAGTGGGCTAGTGGCGAGAAACTAGGACGCCTTCCACACAGCTGAATGAAATCCCACATTATCTGCTTTGAACTGGAATATATGGTAGTGTGGACTTAGATAACCCAGTTCAAAGCAAATATTGTGGGGTTTTCTGCCTTGATACTCTGGAAGGTCCCTAAATGGGGACTGGGTCTTTTAAAAAATAGGGCCCTTATACACAGCTGTATAAAATTCAGATTATCTGCTTTGAACTGGATTATCTGGCAGTGAAGGCTCAGATAATCCAATTCAAAGCAAATAATGTGGAACATCTAGCTTGAAATTCTGGATTTTCAGCAAATTTAGCAGCTCAGCCGTTTAACCCACTGTGCTTAATAAACTTAATAATAAACTTTATTTGTATCCTACCACCATATCCCCAAAAGGGCCTCACAAAGCACTCAATAGTGTGGTAACACACACAATACAGAAGGTACATAAACATATAAAACAGAACACTTAAACAACGTTGCCATCTTGTCCCCTGTGACATCAGCGCCCCTCCCCCAACACCAACGGCCACTGGGGCCAGAATTGTTTTTATACTATGTCTTGAATTTTGTTGTTCCTATGTTGTACACCGCTGTGAGTCGCCCCTGGGCTGAGAACAGCGGTATATAAGCAAAGTAAATAAATAAATAAATAAATAAATATTCTGATTCACAAACAAATTCAACTTAAGAACAAACCTCTTTGTTTGTAACTTGAAGACGGCCTGTAGTCTGAAAAGGCTAGGGTTTGTCTATACTTACTTAGGCCATCCCTCGTAGCTTGAGGATGGTTGTCTTCCAGATGTATCTTGGCAATGGGTCCATAGGTGGCAGTGGAGCCCTATTCTTGGTCCGTATGTTCTCTTGCAGTGAGGACATTGATTTCCAGATGGAAGGCGGTCCTGGTCAGGGTTGGCTTGATGTGACTTCCTCTTGGCACGTTTCTCCCTTTTACCATCCATTCGTGCCTCTTTGAATTCTACAGCACTGCTGGTCACAGCTGACCTCCAGTTAGAATGCTCAAGGGCCAGGGCTTCCCATTTCTTGGTGTCTATGCCACAGTTTTTGAGGTTGGCTTTAAGCCCATCTTTAAATCTCTTTTCCTGTCCACCAACATTACATTCCCCATTCTTGAGTTCAGAGTAGAGTAACTTTGTCTGCACTACTGAACGAATGCAGATTGATACCACTTTTACCTGGCTCAATGCTGTGGAATCCTGTAATTTACCAGGCCCTTTCTCTTATCTGCTGAAAAGTGCTGATGCTTCACCAAACTACAAATCTCAGGATTCCATCGCATTTAATGTATTTTGGTTTTAAATGCTTATTTATGATAGATGGTTTGAATGTGTTGTATATGCTGATAGATTTGAACTTGTATTGCTTTCAGTATGTTGTAAGGTGCTCTGGGTCCCTTTTGTGGGGGGAAAAGATTTATTATTATTATTATTATTATTATTATTATTATTATTATTATTACAAATAAAGATTTATTATTGAAGAGGCATCAAACTGCATTCATTCTACAATGCAGATGCACTCCTAGTGAGGAAGTCATACCACCTAGCCTCAAACTAATCGACACTACGTTTCTCATCTACAGCCCTTTCCTGAACTATAGGAATACTAATAAACTGTATTTTCACAGGATTATTAAACACACCCGTGCACAGCAAGGAGTTAGGACATATTTTCCTCGCAAAGGAACGCACTGTCTCCCAGTTACAGAGTTCCACTAAATCTAGAATGAACCCGGAAGTGTTGTTCCTTAGCTGCCTCTAATTTATTCTACCTCTACGGTGGCACGTCCTTTCCGATCCGCCCCGCAGGATTGTGGGAAGGCGCCAAGATGGTCGCTCTCTGAGGAGTCTGTGCTGGTTTGAAGGGCTCGATGGCGGCCACGCTGTTGTGGGGAGCCTGGCGGAGTCTCCTGGGCCGCAGCTCGCTCGCTCCTTGCCGATTCATCGCAACAAGTAAGAGAAACGGAGGTTGGGCTGAAAGGACAAAGGAGGAAGCAGTTCTTAGGCCTGGGTTGCTGTGAGTTTCCTGGGCTGTACGGCCATGTTCCAGAAGCATTCTCTCCTGACTTTTCACCCACATCTATGGCAGGCATCCTCAGCGGTTGTGAGCTCTGTTGGAAGGTTGTGAGGTTTATATATCTGCGGGACTAGTGCAGAATCTAGATTTACACTGCTATTGGTTTCATGTGCTCTTACCCACTTGATGCTGTTAGGCATTGTATCTTTTTGAGTTGTCTCCCTTGGATGTGCCCCTCTTTTTGCCTACACACAGGTACTGTGTGAGTTTTGGTTTTCCTTTGGCCATTTTATGGCACTCTTTCCCAATTGAGTGCTATGCCACAATATTCTGTCACAGGAATCCCAGGAACTTCCAAAATGCCACTGTCAAAAGCACGGTTGATGTGGATGAGAGAGAGGGCCTTCTCGGTGGTGGCCCCCCACCTCTGGAATGCCCTTCCTAGAGAAATAAGACAGGACCAATCCCTCTTCTCCTTTCATAAGAGCCTGAAGACCTGGTGGTTTAAACAAACCTTTGAGAACGACTTGCTCTAGCTTAGCCCCATATAATGTTGAAATTGGCCATATCTTTTTCTACCAATTACCCAGGTTACTTTCTTCTATTAGGCCCTGGAAATATACAGCCGTAGACTCTATCAGCAATATGTCCCTAATTATACTTTATTAGTGATCTAGGACTGTCTGTAAGCCCCATTCTTTTCCGAAATTCTATCCTAGTTATATTTCACTATAGGTCTTGCCCAGCATTATTTTAAAATTTTAATTTACAACATTTGGCCCAGCCAACGGTTTTTAAATGTTATTGTGTCATTGTTGATGTTTACTGCTTATTTTTTGTTTATGAGTTTTATTTTATTGTTTTGTATTACTGTTGTTGTTTTTTTGTTGATGTATTGTGGGCTCGGCCTCATGTAAGCCGCACCGAGTCTCTTGGGGAGATGGTAGCGGGGTACATATAAAGTTTTATTATTATTATTACCTAATTTCCCAGGCCCTCTAAAATTGCACTAGCCTTTTAAATTGCCTTGAACAGGCAGTATTATTTTAAATATATATGTGCTATTGTGGTTTTTAATGCTTATATTGTTTTGTTAATTTTATGTTTATGCTGTTTTCCTTGTATGTATTGATTATGTTATTTGGAATCTGCTCTGAGTCCCCTCAGGGAGATAGAGCGGTATGTAAATAAAGTTTTGTTGTTGCAACCCCTTCATGTTTCGCTATTTACAGTAGTTGCTTGATAACTTGATATCTTCAAAATCCATACTAATTAGGTGGGCTGCTATTTAGATGCACAAGTACATTTTTATTATTTTGTAATAATATATTTCCAAATGCCTCGTGTGTTTTTATATTTTGTTTCCAAACAAATTTGTGAAGTGTATCGCTATATATTTAAAGTTTTAGGTTTAGTTACTCTTTCAATATAGTATGTCTGAAGCAAATCTCATATGCTATATTTCAACTGTCAACATTTGGGTTAAGGGCTTCTTTTGGAGATAAGCACTGTGAAAGTTCCAGTTATGAGCAACCTGAGATTCTCAAAGGTAAAAGTTTACAGTGGCATTTCTAGCAACTATGCTAACTTTTGATTATATTTTCTAGAAGGTCCTTACTCTTTCAAGGTGAAGGAGCCCCCGCGACCCAAATCGGTTGACCGATGGACAGAGAAACGAGCACTATTTGGAGTCTATGATAATATTGGAATTCTGGGTGAGTATCTTGTAGGCATTTGTTCAAATCATACAGAAAACTCCCCCCCCCCCCCCCCCCCCCCCAAAAAAAAAAGGATGGCCACTATACATCAGAGGAACCGATCACTTAATACTAGGATGTGGTGCTTTAATGAGAGAGAAGAATCCAGAAATGCATTTATTTTGAGGCTTGCAATGTAATACAAGGTTCAAAGTGAAAAAGAATGGGTGGAGGAAGAGAAAGGCAACCACTGGACTAGCTTTATCTTCACAAATGTGCTGAGCTTTGTCTATCCCCTTTCCACTTATTCGTCATTCTGTGATGTATAGCCTTTTGGTAGTAGTTGATTTCAGATCATGGCCAAAGATGGGAGTTTGCCTCCCTTCACCTTTGCATTCCCTGCATTGTACTAGCTCACATCAGCCAATAAGAAGTACAGGAATTGCAGTGTAATGACTAAATACCATCCTCTCACAGCAAAAGCAACTTGCAACATGCACAATGGAGAACTTTCTTATAGCAACACCAGAGGCATTCCAAGTAGCCAGTTACTGGTAAAAGGACATTTAATATAATGCTAAGTTTTTTAAACTCTGTGTTTTTAAAATATATTACAATTGTATCCTTGGTGCACTCCTGATATGATAAATGAGTGTGATGACCATGGCATGTGAGAAATAATGTAGCAATACCAGCCAGCATTTTTTCTGGCTTGGTCAGTTTACAAAGTCAACTGACAGCCCTTGGTTCATTGCTGTCTTCATGTTTCCATATCCAGACTGGAAGTCCTATGTAATTGATGTCTCCCAGCCATGTTGACTGGTGTTCTACTATAGAAAAGCAAAAAAGAGAAGAGCTTGCAGCACTGCTTTTAAAAAGAAAATACCTAACTTAAAAAAAAGCTGAAGTGAATAATTGCCATTGATTGTCATTGAAAGGAAACACGCTTTGTTGCTTGCTTGTTGCTTAGAAAACCCAGATACCAGAATGGCTCCAAATTCTACCAAATTTCATCTCCTAGTAACATTCTAGAAACAAAGAAACTTTGCTTGTTGCACTACTTGTCTGATTACTTTGTCAACTGGTGTGTAGCTTTACAAATAATAATTTCTCCTTCTCCTCCCTTTCTTAAATATGCATTTTCATTGTTAGCAAACCTTTCTCGTCTCTTCTTTGAATCTTTCCTCCTTGAGACTTCCACTTCCACATTTAGTTTACCTTCAACTCGCTCTCAGATTTCTTCTGCTATTCCAGTGTCTTCTCTTCTCTGCTCCCTGACACTTCTCGCCAATAAAGATGTTGAGCACTACTCCCTTCCCTGATATTACTAGTATGTGTTTTAAAATGTTTTAAGAGAACCTTTTCTTTTCTTTTGTGAGTTGCAGAGAAAATAAATAAGAAATCTTGGTTTTTTATGTCAATTGAGGGCTATAGCTTTTGCTAAAATGTGGTCAGGGAAAAATACAATGATTACCTTTGCGTTTTTGGGAGAAGGGAAACACTTTGGAGGTATGTGGATTCACAGCGGTTAAAAAAATCAGAACAAGAAAACCATCGGCTGGCTGCTAAGCAAAGACAGTATTTGCACTAAAACAGTGGATTGCAAGATTGACCTCCCTTTCTGTTATATTTCATTTCTTTTTTTCCTTCATTTTGTAGGGGATTTTTTGGCTCATCCCAAAGACTTGATAGTTGGCCCAAAATGGTTGCGTGGATGGAGGGGAAATGAGCTGCAAAGATGCATCCGCAAAAAGAAAATTGTGGGTGACCGTATGTTTGTTGAGGATTACCACAACCTGAAGAAGAGGATTAAATATTTGTACAAACGTTTTAATCGTACAGGAAAGTATCGCTAAGTGTAGCTCTCAAAGAACTGTCATTCGTCTCTGAGTACATGGTAGACTGTTCTTACACTGTGCATAACCTGAGGGAAGTGTTCAAATTATCTCCTAATTCAGTTTTTTGGTTGTTTAATATTTTATATCTGTTTCCCTTCATCTCCAGTGCATTATTTTGTAATGCACTGAAATATCATCCCTAAGACCCACATTTGTTTAATGATTTCAAGATAACATTTGTTGCCGTTTCTTTCATGTTTTTGGTATATGAGTGCACAGTGGCTGCTACATATGTGTCCTGTGATTATTTACATCTCAAATATTTGTTCCTTGGATTTTCTCTACTTCATGCTTATTTCAGAATGGAAAATATTCTATAAAGAGAAGACAATTTTGTTACAATACAAATATCTGCAAATGTGTCAGTAATGAAGTTACAAAAATAAAAGTTTTGTCTCTTTCACTGCCTCTATGCTGTGTCTAATTTTCTGAGTTGTGCAGGAATTTATAGATCATAGCATGAATCCAATTTTGTGCCATATGCTGGATATATAAGCCTATGGAGGAAATGAGTTTTGAAGGCCATTGTATTTTAATTGTTTTTACCACAGTTACTATTTAATAGTTTTTAAACTTTTGTATAGCTCTTTTAAAACTTGTCTATTGTGGATTGTTAGCCGCCTTGAGTCCTCATGGGAAGAAAGGTGGGGTATAAAGATAGTAGTAGTAATAATAATAATAATAATAATAATAATAATAATATCAGGATCATTTTATGAAGAAGTACTAAACTAGTCAAATACCATATTTGTCTTGGTTTTAAAAATACCCTCAATTCTTTCTCTGTGTAGTCTTTTAGTCATCAGCAATCACTTGTGTCCAAATATTGTCTTCCAAGTGAAGTGGGTTCTTAGGTGATTATAGAGACCTATTCTTGATCCGCATGTTCTTCCTCAGTGAGGACATCCATTTCCAGGTGGAAGGTGGTCCCGTTCAGGGTTGGCTTGGCGCACTTTCCTCTTGACACGTTCCTCCTTTTTGCCTTCTATTCATTTCTTTTTGAATTCCACAACACTATTGGTAACAGCTGACCTCCAGTGAGAATGCTCAAGGACCAGGGCTTCCCAGTTCTCAGTGTCTATGCCACAGTTTTAAATGTTGGCTTTAAGCCCATCCTTAAATTTCTTTTCCTATCTACCAACATTCCATTTTCTGTTTTTGAGTTGGGGGTATAGTAACTGCTTTGGGAGAAGGAGATGGGCATTCATACAGTGTGGCCAGTCCAGTGGAGCGAAGGATCATTGTTTCAGTGCTGGTGGTCTTTGCTTCTTCTAGCACACTGAGATTTTTCCACCTATCTTACCAGATTTGCAGGATTTTTCGGAAGCAATGCTGATGGAATCATTTCAAGTTTGACAAGGTGACAATCCATCGAGGGGGAATCTTTCAGTAACAAAGTAACTGGTCCACAAATATGAATACCCACAGTATGAAATAACAGTAGGGAAGGAAGAATCATACAGACTTGAGTGTTTCCATATCAGAAATACATCTAAAAACTTTTACACCATTTAGAAATTGTTGGTCTGGAGCTCCTGTCAATCAGTGGCAAGGGCCAATGAAAATTGCACTCAATTGACTTAACAGACCAGAAACTGCCAATATCTGTTCTGTATTGAACTATATTGATCTTTTGGTTTTTTCCCAATATTCTGGGAACATGCTATGGGCATTTTATAATATAAAATGTTTCCATTGTGAGTGAAATGGGTTTTTCTAGAGAGCACCTAGCATTGGATACTGGGACGAAAAAAGGTCCGTCCATTCCAACCCACTGCTATGCAGGAACACACAATCAAAGCTGGCCATCCAGCGTCTGCTTAAAAACCTCCATGCTCTCAGGAAGCATGTTCCGCTGCTGAACAGCTCTTATCATCAGAAAGTTCTTCCTAATGTTTATGTGGAATCTCCTCTTACAATTTGAATACATTGCTCCATTATGTCCTAGTCCCCAGAGCAGCAGAGCTTGCCCCCTCTTCAATGTGACATCCTTTCAATTATTGAAACATGTCTATCATGTATCCTCTCAGCCTTCTTTTTTCCAAGCCAAACATACTGTATCCATCTAAGACATTCTTCAATTGTTTTTTTTTAAGAATGAGGCTAATTTTATTCTTCATGTTCTTAATACAACAACAGGTATTTTCAGACTTTACTATGAAAATTACAGTAATAGTTAATTTAAAGTGTGCAAAGATTAGCAGATGCCTATTGTCAAAGGGCTCAATTCTTGACTGCATCAAAGGGAACACAACACATTAACAAATAACAAGTGCTTAATAAACAACGATAGTGTATAATCCCTAAATAAGGACTTCTATGTACCTGTTGCAAACAAAATTTGCATCTTAGCTGTCTGTGGTGCTGTCCTTTGGCTTGTGAGGTGTGCAGTGTTATTATTTAGCCTTTGTCGGGGATTGGTTACATATAGATGAGGGATAATCATGACTTGCTATGGCCATGCAGCATGCTTGCTATTGGTGAGTGGTTAGGAAATTGTCTCTGGAGTGGGAAGCCTGAATATTTTCAGACTGCTGCCACAAACACCCACACATCTTAAGTGTGTTATAAAAAAAAAATAGAGCAACCGTTGGGGCCCAAGTAGATGACCTAAGGAGGTGTCCCGTTCAACACTATAGAATTCCCTAAGGAACCAAAACAAATCTTTTCTAAGCCTTTCCCACTCAACCACTAAATAAAAAGACCCAGGCTTGACATTAGCTAAAACCCCATCAAACAGCCTTCTCACCCTTTTTGTCTTAAACTCAGAAACGAATCATGGCACCCAACCACCTATTGTCCTAGATTTGGGAATTTTGCTGGACCCATGTCCCCAGGAGTAAACTCATCAACTGTTAGAAATAGCAACCTTCTACAAGACTCCTATACTAGTTATCTGTTATGTAAACAATTGAGATTGCTTACTATATTGTAAGTATATATTGATATGCAGTTTACCCCTTAACTCTATGTTATTAGAGGTTGTGGGAGGGACTACAGACCATGTGACCCAGATCTTAGAATGGTCAGAATGAGACTCCATTTTAGAAGTCAGTTTGAATCAGAAGTCAGTTGGAGTCAGTTGAGTTGGTAGATGTTAGAGCCAGAGTATAGTCATTATGTTTCTGTGAGATGTTCAGTTGATATACAAGTCTGTTTGCAACAGACGTATAGTACAGTTTCAAGTATACATTCAGTTAACATGAAACCAATATGCAATGTATGCTAAATACATGAAGTAAGTAAATCAACTATGTTAATTTGTAGGGTTAACTTGTATGTGTGCCTAAATGATATGGGACTGAGTTTGAAAGACCAATTAAATGATTTGTCTTTGGAAACTAATGAAAATGTGTATTGGATTTACTGCCAGAAATTATAAAAACCCTGCAGCCCCATTGGGGGTTGGCCAAACCCTTTGAAACTTAACGAAGACTACTTATTATTTTGGTCTCATGAGAGCATGATTTTATGGGAGAGTAGATATTTTTGGACAACTGAAACAAGATCTGCTATATATTTTGAGGACTGACATATCTTTGTTCCTAACAGTTCAGAGAGATAACCAGGTACATCAGTCTAACAGCTAAGAAGCCTAAATCGCCTTGCATGAAAACTAGTGGATATTTACTACTAAGGAGAAGATTCACTCAAGCATGTTTTCAACTCTTCTCAGGAAGATCATACTTTACAAAAGGTTACTGAAGGAGCCCTTCATTATGATGTCTAACAAGGTCATGCCTTTACAAAAGGTTATGATTTTTCCAAATAGTGTGAATATCAATTAATTTTAAACAGAGGCTGGGTGGCCATCTATTGGGGGTGCTTCTTGGCAGGGGGTTAGACTGGATGGCACACGAGGTTTCTTCCAACTCTATGATTCTAATCTCCCAAAGGGTCACGCTTCCAAAAGTCTATAGAGATTCCTAGTTTTCCCAATATCAACTACCCTTGTTCCCCATAATCCAGCTGCATTCTTTCCCAATCGTCTGCCCTCCCAGGGACTGACAGAAAAAGGACAGCAGACAGCTTCAAATGCAACTGATGACAAGTTAATTGAAATTCCAGCAATCAGTGGCGGATATTCACAGACCTTTAAACTTCCAGCCAATCAGTGACTGGGAATGGATGAGCTCCTTCATTCAGTGATCCTGGAACTGCACCAATAGTTTCCAAATGTGTGAAAAATCTCTATGTAATATCCATGCTTGTAAGTGAAAACATGGCCAGATTTGGGATTTTGCTGGTATCCATCTTGGCCATTGCTAACTAAAACTATTTCTGTCCTGTCTTCAATCTGTGTGTGTCCATTGGATCTGATTGGAGCTCTAGCATACTGGAGAACCTGAGATTTCAGACAAGAAGAGGAAACCCACTGTAAGTGAGGGAAGTGGGCTTGACAGCATTGGCTAGGAGTTGAGGGCTGGTATAACCCTGGATTACTATATGGTTTTGAATTTCTTGCCCTGATTTTTGTCCTATTTTTAATTTTTCTTCTAAAATCCTGCTGTTCTTGCACATTTCTGCAGCAAAGCAAATTTAGCACACTTGGTATCTGCTGTTCTTCTTGCTAATCTCTGCAGCAAAGTAGATTTAGGGCACTTGGTATCTGCTGTTGTTGCTCATGATATTTACAGAAGATCTTTACTGTGGGCTGGCTGTTAGGGATTGTGGGAGTTGAAGACTAAATCACCAGGAGGGCCGAAGTTTGCCCATGCCTGGTCTAGAGGTAGCTTCAGTCTTTAAGATGCTGCAAGATCCCTTTGTATACTAATACTCCAGACAAAAGTGTCTATTTTGGAATTTGCCTATAGGAAGAACAGCTTATTGAATTCTGCCCATTAAGTGGATAATTTACTGTCACAAACACAACAAAAAGTCTTATAGCAGTGTAAAGACAAAAGGGTCACTCTAGACAACCTAATAACTAATATTAATTAATTATCTTATCCAGGCCCCTTCTACTCAGCTGTATAAAATCCAAATTGAACCGGATTATATGGTCAAGTGTACTCAGACAACCCAATTCAAAGCAGATATTGTGGATTATTTGCCTTGTTATTCTGGGTTATATGGTTGTGTGGAAGGGCCCCAAAAAAGGCTTTCAAGTAGCAGTAGGATGGCTATCTGTCAAGAGTGCTTTGATTGTGTCTTCTACTATGGCAGGAGGCTGGAACAGATGCCACATGGTCTCTTCTAACTAGGATTCTCATATTTCACTTGTTGGTACAGTTCTATCCAGTCGGGGAAGTGAAAGGCCCCTTCCACATTGCCCCTATATCTCAGGATCTGATACCAGATTATCTGGCAGTATAGACTCATATAAACCAGTTTAAAGCAAACAATCTGGGATTAGACCTTGGGATATAGGGCAGTGTGGAAGGGGCCAAAGCCAAAGCTG